CTGGGCAATGCGTTTGATTAACACAATTTGCATGCTTTGGCCGACTCAAAACTATAGGTAAATAAAGAATTTTGGCAAAGATTATCCAATGATTTGCGTAGCTCAAAAAATTCGAAAATTTGATTTTGTGCAAAAAAATATTCGAAATCGTATTTGGGAAAAACCAGTTTTTTTAAACGGATCGGATATTTTAAAACCAGATAATATAACCGGTTTGGGAAAAAATTGGACGACAGGTTTTTTTACCGGATTAAAAATAGGTTTTTTATTCGAAAAAAACCGGTATGAGTTTAAAAACTAGCCGTTAATATAGCCGTTGGGAGAGTTTTGTGATCGTTTTTTGACCTTTTTCTAAAAAAATTACCATTTTGCCACCCTAAACATGTATAAATAGGTTGTAGATGTATTTGGTTGATTACAATTTTCTCAAATCTTATTACACAACACCTAAACATCCCTCAAATCTTATTTTTGTATTTTTTTGTTAATCATGGCTACAAGTAACACGGCTGAATCTTCCGTCGAGGGAAACCTTGAAGTCGTGAGAGTGATCGAACACACTCGAAACAAAGATATTTGGGATCACTGCGATTTATGTGAGATGTCAAATGGCTCGAGGATGGCGCGTTGTAAACTTTGTCTAAAGTTGCTTGCACCGGAAGGAAACACAACGTTGAAGAACCATTTGACAAAATCAAGCAAGGCACTTCGCTCAAGATCGGATCCAAGTCAATCGAATCTTACACTACAATGTGGTGTTTTTGTTTACGACAACGAAAAATTACGAGAAGCATTTACAAAGTTTGTGATTACAAAAGCATTGTCGTTCGACCACTTTGATGGTGAAGATTTCATGGCAACAATTCAACAACTAATGCAACCAGTTGTACTCAAGTAAGTCGTACTACCCTTAGAAGATGCTATAAAAATGTGGATTACTGTGAGGGAAAAATGATTTTAGGATTCCAAGAACACTGTTATGGTGTGTCGCTTACATGTGACGTTTGGAGTTCCCCTCATAATACCGGAAATTCTTTTTTAGCCGTTACAGCACATTGGTTAGATCAAGATAATTGGCATATGATGAAAAGAACAATCGCGTTTGAATTATTCGGTGAGCCGCATACATGTGTTAATTTATTTACACTTTTAAAAAGGGTAATTTTCTTTATAAATTAGAAAATAAAGTTTTTTCTATATCCTTTGATATGCATCGAATAATACAAACACGGTTCCAAGATTGAAAATATTACTTTCACTGATTTTAGACGGTGCGTTTTTCATACCCGTTGCGTTGCACACATAATTAATTTATCCGTGCAAGCCGATTTGGAGGTTATTGAGCCAATTAGATTAGAATTTAAAGCAGTGATAAAATCGGTTCTTTGTAATAACAACAAAAGACTAAATGATTATAAACGATTTTGTAAGTCGGTTAATAAAAAAGCTTTGGGTCCTATTTGGATTGTCCAACTCGTTGGAACTCAACTTGGATGATGATGCATATCGCCTTAAGGCAAAGGGAAACATTGCAAACATTTCACGATCGGCTTTTCGAGAGGGGTCATGTCCAAACATTTATCCGGATTCGAGTTGGGAAACTATAGCCAAAATAACCGATTTGCTTGGGTTTTTTAAAAATGCAACAACTTTTTTATCCGGTGTTTATTACCCTACTAGCCCGTTAGTTCTTAATCAAATATTTTTGTTGGCTACCCGACTAAATGACTTTGAATTTGAAACCGAAGTTTTTCAAGAAATTGACTTTGCAATGAATGAAAAACTTTTAAAATATTTTAAGGAGATTCCCCATTTTTACTTGTGCCGCCGCTTTAAACCCAACGTTAAATGTTGGCGGGGTTGAAACACTAATTGAACAAATTACGTTGCTTTTAATCTAACCGATGATGAACCCAACTTTGTCCAAAACCAAATAAATTATTTTAACAAATGTTTTCAAGACATGTTTACAATTTATTTAATTAAATACAGATCAAGTAGTGTAATACATGATCAAATTAGAACGAATGCGGAATCATCTAGTAGACGTCCAAGTAACATAAATTTGTCACTTTTTAACACTCTTGTAAATTCCCAATTCAAACGATCACGTACTACCACCCCAAGTAGCGAGTTGAGAAATTACATGTCATGCGATTTTCTATCAAAAATGACATTTGAAGAGTTTGAAAGTTTGGATATTTTGGCTTGGTGGAAAGAAAAGGAAACACAATTTTCAATTCTAGCCGCCATGGCCCTTGATTTACTAACCGTCCAAGCTTCTACGGTAGCTTCAGAATCCGCTTTTTCTATTAGTGGCAGGGTTATATCGCAACGGAGATCAAGAGTAAGTCCCGAGTCGGTGGAAATATGCATTTGTTTGAATGATTATTTGGATGGAGAGGCTCGGAAGCAACATATCACCACCCTAGAAGATGCAATTGATGTCGATTTGGAAGCAAACTTACACATTGAAGAAGTCGAACTTAGAATATCCCCTCCAAACAAAGAAGGCGAAGATGATGAAGAAGAGATGGCGATGTAGTTTATTTTTAAACTTTATTTAAATTATCGTAAATTTTGTTTCAATTATCGAACTTGGAAGTTTTTAAGTATTTGAATTTATCGAACTTGGAAGTTTTTAAGTATTTGAATTTATCGAACTTGGAAGTTTTAAGTATTTCAATTATCGTAAACTTTGTTGCAATTGATGACGATGTAACTTTAATAATATTAAAATCAGATTTTTTATATCTGGTTTTTTTAAAAATCTGTTTTTTTAAAACCGAAACCGGTTACACCATCCGACCCTCCAAACCGATTAGATCCAAACCAATTTTTTATAAACCGATTTTTTAGCTAGGTGAAAAAACCTGATCGGATTTAAATCCGACTTTATGCATGTCTACTATGAGGGTAGAGCACTTTAGCTCTTCTCAGGAGAGCTAGGTTCGAGTCTGTGAAGCCCTCCGTTTAGGCAAATTCTCCTTTGTTTTATTAGTGGAATAAAATTAATTAAATAATAATATAAATAATTATTTAAAATTTAATAAATTATCACGCAATTGTGCGTTAGTTTACTAATTAATTAATAATATAAATAATTATTTAAAAATAAAAAATAAAAAAAATTATCAAGTTAATTGTGCCGTTAGTTTACTAATGAGGTGGTGACACCTATTAGTTATATAAAATTAATTAAATAATTATTTAAGAATTAAAATAATAATAATAAATTATCACGTTAATTGTACCATTAGTTTTTTTACCGACGGGATACTAAAACGAAATCAAAACGTAACTTTAGGTATAATTTTAAAAACTTTGAAAGTGTAAATATTAAAACGAATCAAAACACATAGTTTAAATATTAAACGTGTAGTTTACCCTAAAAAGTATTAGTATATATTTTGAAAGAATTTAGTTTGTTTTAGTTTAAAATTGAGATAAATATAAAAATATTTATACTAAAATGTTTAAGATAACTAATAATAAAATTAACATTTTAGATTAAAATATTAACTTCTCGAATATATAAAAAATACTAACATATTTTTATAATAAAAAAATTAAATTAAACCCTTTAAATATTTTATTCATTTATCAGTGGACTTGGTTCAAGTGGTAAATAATTTGATATTGTTTAAGTAAGTCTCAAGTTCAAGGCCTTATGTATGCAAAAAATTTATACGTTGAGACTCACTTAGGGTGAGCAAAACTCGACTCAACTCCAAAAATCAAACTTTTTCAATTTTGAGTTATTAGAGTCAACTCAAATTATCAATTCGGTTTTCGAGTTCGAGTCGATTTGAATTTCAAAATTTTGAGTAATTTGAAAAATCAAAAATTTGATGAGTAGCTTGACAGATTTGTGATTTGGTCCCTAATTTTCTATTCTTTCAATTCTTCATTCGTTTTAAGTCAATTTTTTTATCATATTTGAATCACATGCTCCTAAACCACCATAGTATACATATGTACTTTTGATTCCACTTTTTGATAAAAAACAATTTCTAATTTTTGAATTTAGTCCCTTAATTTTGTATGATTTTCATATTTCATCAATTCATCCTTCATTTTAAGCACCTTTTTTTTATCAAATTTAAACCACATGCTCACCAACCACTATAGAATACTTATGTAACTTTAATTCTTATTTATTTTACTAAAAATATACTCTCTCTTTTTAATTTAGTCCTTTTACTTTGCATTTTACTCAATTTAGTCTTTTGACTAAAATTGTTTACAAGTTCTTTTTTTCACATCAATTCTTTGATTCCCTTATACTCTCATTAATCTTTTATCCTCAAAATACATTCTTTGAAATATAATATTGTAAATATATTTTATAATTTTAGATTGTATGTGATATATTAAATAACATTGTAATTTGAAAAGAATATGAAGATATATATATATATATATATATATAGTTAGAAAAAGTCAAAAAATTGGAATAAATTCGTACTATAATACTATAAATAATTATAATTAAATTTGTATAAAAACACGAACAACTCGACTTGAGCCGGAAAAATTTCATGTTAAGTTCAAGTCATAATATATGACTCATTAACTCGAACAACGCAAAATTTTTTGACTTAACTCGATTGAATACTCACCTCTAGAGTCACCTACCAAAATCAGGTATGTGACGCCGGTCGGTCCAGTTTAGTCAGCTTGAATCGGAAAAACAACCAATTTTTTTACTTCATTTACTATATAAAACAAGGGTAAACTACATGTTTAATAGTTAAACTATTACTTCTATTTTTGTTTTAGTGCCCAAACTTTAGTTTTTTTAAACCATTCCTATAGTTTAGTTTAGATTTTAATTTGATATCTCGTCATTAAAAAATTAACAGAATTGCTCACACATCAACATTACCGTTAAGATTTTAACAACAGTGTACCAAAATGAAACTTAAAGTAAACTTTAGGTATGTTTTAAAAAAGTTTAGATATCAAAACTGAACAAAAATAATAGTTTAGGTACTAACTTATAATTTACCCTAAAAGCAAACGAATATAAATTCCGAAACCGAATGGACACCTATCTACTATCAGTCTAGTCTCTTTAGGTAGTCTGCCCGTGCCAATGGAACTTTTCGTGTTACTAAATACTGACTGCTCGTGTATGTTCTCCCTACTCGCTTATTATTGGTGAGACAAGCATGTTGGCCTCATGGACTGAACTGGCTGCAATGCGTGAGACATACGCTCTGCAGTAAGCGAGTGAGCAAGTTTGAAAACCAGTTCCCATCTCCATGTGATAAAGTCATTTAATCGACTTTAATTGATTCTTCGAACTCTGTGCTGCTTTTGTTCTTCCTCTTTCCTACAACTTTCCTTACTGCAAGAGGTTTTCTCAGGTAGTGTCCATCAGTTAACCTAATCAAAAGGGTTTGGATTTAAGATGGGTTTCCTGCCTTTTATCAAGTTTGCATTGATTTGCCTTGATGCTCTTGCATGGTAATCTTTTTATCATCTTAAATGTCCCATTTATGTGATGTGTTAATGTTTTTTTCCTCATGTTTTCATGCATTGTTTGCAGGCCTCTCTTTGCTTTGGGTTATCCTCTGTAAGTCTTTCTCTTTCGTCTTCACCATGTTATAAACATATAGGGTTATTCTTTTGTTAGTCATTGTATTTTCATGAAGTTACAGGCGTGCTTCAATTCATGCAATTGAAACTAATTCGTACTCGGACACCGAGAAACTGGTAACCTACTGGGTAATCTTCTCATTGATTTCCCTGTTTGAGCATGCTTTCATGGGGATGCTTCAATGGTAATACTGTTTCTCAGCAAATGTATGAACTTATGTTTGATTTCTGTATCAACAAATGTTGGGTTTTTCCTGTTCGATCTTCACCTAAATGTCGATGGATTAATCCCAGGCTACCATTATGGCCGTACGTGAAGCTGACGATCATCTGCTTGATGGTGATTCCCCATTTTGACGGTGCTTTTTATGTGTATAACCACTTTGTTCGCCCATGCATCAATGTACACATTCATACTATCTGCAACTGGTTCAACAAGTTTCAGGGTTCCTTTTTGAAAGACTATGTTCTTGCTAAGGCAGATAAAGATGTGAAGGGTTTGGAGAAACCTATTGCTAGTGAGGTACCGATCTCAGATTTTATGTTAGTGGATAAACTTATAAAAGTTTCGGGGCAAAAACAGATTATCAATAGAAAATGCTTAAATTATTTGAGAATTTGAAATTTTCTCCTTATGTTTTCATAATGTAGTCAAAGGACACAAATTCTAGCATATTGCAGAAAGACATGAAAGCTGTACAAGTACCAGAGAATAAAGAAGTTTGTCCAGTGAACCTGGTAAAGTTTCATCCTCATTTTTCTTTGGAATTTCATAATTCATCCCAACATTTTGGTTTCCCCCAAGGGAAATAATAATCTTTATGCCTTGATGCAAGACTAGGATACATCAGAACACAAAAGAATTGTTATAAGTTTCTAATGGTCCACTTGATATCTGTACAGATTCCTGAAATAGAGCCTAATGCTGGTAAGAAAGTGAACGGTGTGATGGCGGTTCCCGAAATGAAGGGAGAAGCGGGTTTTTGTTGTCCGGAGATACCTTTGGATAAGCTGCAAGTTCAACAGGAGTGGACCTGTGCAATGTGTCAAGTGACAACCACAAGTGAGACAACCTTGAATTACCATCTGCAAGGAAGGCGGCACAGGGATACTTTGGAGGAGCTAATGAAGGCAAAGAACCAGCTTCCTAAAGGCAAAGTTTCTTATGCAAGAAACAGCCATCTGCAAGAATCTGCTTCTTCAGTGGCTTGTAACACATCAAACACTAGAAAATCTAATGTGGTGAAAGACAAACCAAAGAAGTTGTCGGTTCCGAACAATTTGTCAAGAAATCAAGAGGTAAAAAGCCAGAAGAAAGTTGGGAAGAAACCTCAGTTTCGGTGCACCATCTGTAACATATACTGCTCTGGTTCAGAGGACTTGAACAATCACCTTTGGGGAAAGAAGCACTTGGCCAGAATTCAGGAACTCAATACTCTTGCTTGAGTGATCTATCAACAGGGAAGTTTGTGTAATCCATCTTGGAATTTTACTACTGTAAAACGTTAAGAGGAAAAAAAATTATTACTATAAACATGATGTCTCTATTAGAAAGTTTTATGAATCAAGGTAATTGTCTGAAATTTGAACCCAGGTGGAATAACATGAGCCTCCTTAGTCACTTGACCAATTAATGAATCTTAAATATTTATTAATAATTTAACAATTTATAATTTTTTTTATCGAGACATTATTATATAATTAATTAATTATGTATAGGTTTAAAATTCCTATATCTTATTATGTCAATTTTTTTAAATACAAATTATTTTAAATTTTATATATTTTGATGAAACATGTAGTCATGTACAATCATTATAAATTTATTTTTTTGACAAAACTAATTTTTTATAATTTTATTATAATTTAAATTAATATATTTCATAAATTATGATATTAAAAAAATAACTATCATTCTAATACATATATTTTTTAACTTATAACATTGTATCACATTGTTGATTTGCTCTCATTATTATACTTGTAGAACAGTTAAAGAGACCAGGGATGTTGACTGGAGCTTTGAAGGACAAACCCAAGAAGAATATTGAGATTGTAGCATCTATAAAAGAGAAAGCGAGCGAGAAGAGTGGTGGTAGCGGAAAGAAGAAAACTTAAAAGTAGATTATAATCTATCTTGTCTCAGTTACGAAAAATTATTAGATGGACCCGACTCATCAATGTGATCTCAAACAACAAAATCCATCCATTTCATTTTTTTAAAGGTGAATCTTCACATTTTTCCTACATGTAAATAAGTAGTGGATAGATTTATCTTGACTAGATATGAATCGATGTAAACCGAAAATCACTTGAGTGATTCTGATTTGTTGTTGCAGGAATTGATGCATCATGTAGGGTTTACATGGCAAAAGAAAGGGGAGCCAAGATAGCAAGTGAAGTCTCTGGTGCATGCATTGCATGCTGATGCATACTGGTGAGAAGTGACTTTGACAGTTTCAATAGGTTTCAGTGGCTACATATTTCCGATCAGCTTTTAGTTGTGGGCTGTTTACCACATGGTGAATGTGAATAATATCGCCTGTCCCTGATGCCTCTCAAGTTCATCACGAATACGGAAACCTTGGGACTGTATTTTGCTCATTTCATGCTCACCATATTTATGCCAATAATGGTCACTATACCAATATTGTTGATGATGTTCTATTTTTATTTTTTTCTGTACGATGACCAGAACTAAAGCCGGGCTCATTATGTGTATCGAGTTTCAAACTCAAAGCTGGGAGCCACCTGGGAGCTATAGGTTTTTCCTGTTTCGACAGCAAGAGCAAGGCTACTAATGGCAGCAATATAAACATGTTACAACTTATCTCAACTAGAATTCACAAACGCACTCTTTTTACAAGTGTTCTTTACACTTCAACTTATATTTTTTCACCAGAAGCAGACAACAAAATTCATTTTTCTTCATCTTAATAAAGAAAGGTGGAGTGGTCAGAAAATTTGCTAAATCCATTGAAAACGGAAAAGGGCACGAGTACTTGTTAAACACAAACACAAAGAACTTATTATCGTAAACGATTCAAGATGTTTCAATACAGACACAAACACAAAGAACTTATTATCGTAAACGATTCAAGATGTTTCAATACAGTTTTCATTTTTATCTTCATATATTGAGCTGAAACAAGTACCTGGAACTTAAGAAGACTTCTTATGCAACAAGGGATCAGTGATGACTTGGGGTTCAAAGTCTGGTTTCAAATAACGGCCAAACATATCTGCATATAGCTCATATCTCGCAGTCATCCGGAACCCCCATTTGTCTTTCATTTGCCTACAAAGGTTAATATCCATGTCTGAGATCACCAGTCCGTCCTTAAAACGGGAGAGTGATGGGGTGCAGGATGCATCTGGTGCTGAAAAATGACTAGATCCATAGAAGTGCCCAAAATCTGAATGTTGTGGCTTTCCATCTCCTGAAGTGAAAGGGTTGGGGAAAATCTCAGTCCCTACACGATTGATCGAGCCGACAAAGTAACTATTTGCTATTGCAGCATTGCGTGCCTGTAAAACAAACGAATAATAACATGTCAAACGACTTGTAGAAGAGAGTTTTGTCTGAGGCATTACTAATACAAGGCTAGAATTTGTATCAATGTCGTTTGCAATTAACAATATTTAGGCAAACAGCCCCATGATAACTTATATGCATTACTAAAAGGAAAATCAATACATAAACAGCCTCATGATGAATTTTAATCTCAATTGAAGCATTATCTAAATCTGTAAAAGAAGCATAAAACATGCTCAAGTATCCTAAAAAAGAGATAAATAGGGTCGGAATGGAATATTAAATACGGAAAACAATAACCTCTATGGGCCACAGCGGTTCACTAAGTTCACCAACTGTGGCTGATGGGTTGAAAACAATCTCAGCACCATTCAAACCAAATGCTAGCCAATTCAAAGGATGGTGCCTTCCATAACAAATATTAACAGCAATCTTCCCATAAGCAGTCTCAAATACAGGATGCCCGGTATTTCCTTCCATATAATATGTGCTCTCATTGAAGTCCCCAACTCTAGGAATATGGTTCTGACAGAATCCAGTCATTTAAGAAAAATCAAGAAATTCTTCTAAAACAAAAGCCGAAACTCAGATGAAGTACTACATTTACCTTACGATGCTTGCCTATTATGTTACCATTATTTCCAATTATAACAGCAGTATTCCAGAGAGTCTCTCCATGATTTATATCCCTCTCAAGAATTGGGCTTACAATGACCATATTATACTTGCGGGCAAATTCCTGAAGAAATTGTGTAGATTCCCCGTTAACAGGCTCTGCAAGTTCGCACCATCTCTTTTCCCGAGTACAGAAGGCAAATGGCATCATCCATGCTTCCTGATCTTGCACCATATGAGCCATCAATGGGATTTTCAGAATAATCATGAACTAATGGATAAAATCAACCGTACCTGCAAGCATAGTATGTTGACTCCTGAAGCACCTGCAGCATCAATTATTGGTCCCAATTTCTCAAAGAGAGCCTTTTTCTGGTCTGAAAAGGGAGCAGTGGTTGGAAGAGCAATGGAGTTCTGAATAAGACCGACCCTTACTACCCGGGGTTCCCTTAGCAACTCTTTGTCAGCAGAAAATTCGAAAGCCTGGAATAATTTGAAATGGAAAATCAAAATGTCTTGTAGAATGTACTCGTATCAAAGTAAAACTGACAAAGATAATAGCCACTATTATGCTCAGATAAGGTTAGGTCAGGTCTGTGCAAGACTAATTTTGTAATGAAAAGAGTGTTTTTCAACCTTCTAGATAAGGGTCATCTGAATGGAAATGTACATATTTCCAAGAAAATTATACATTCAAACTAATCGAATTAAATGCTCAAAGGTATGAATATGAATTTGATAGAAACATCAGAACAATTTCTAACATAGAATAACTAACCCTGCCAAAGGTTAACATAATCATCAGTTCCGGTCAAAATGCCTCGAGTATCTCATTTCAGCCAGTCCAACCTTGTGGTTATTATTTTCTGATACTAATTACCATGACCATGATGAATCTCTAAATCGACAAATCTATTATAACGCAGTAATGATGAATAAGTATGCACCTGAAGGTCAAAATCATGTTTTGAAGAGAGGGCTTTAGCCGATTCAGGTATAACAATGGTTTCAAGTGCTTTACCGCAATTCATCCCCAGAAGCAATCGGCTGACTTCCTGAAAATAAATCATATTCAACAAAGTATTCCAAAGATTGTTACTTTCATCTACAATAAGATCAGTCGATTTTGATTTTTAAAAAGATCAGTAGACAAAATGTTTGCAAATTCTGAGTATCAATTCCTATGATCAGCAAAACTAACCCAAATTACAATAACCATAGTAGCAAACTAGTCATACTTGACAATTAGAATTGGGATTTCCTGATGCTCAACATATATTTGATCCAGTCAAACCCACAATTCATATTTTTTTCATAATTAAATCTACTTCTCAATAACAGAATAATGAAAGATATAAGCTACAAAAACAATAACTGGAAAGATTGGATTTTTTGTCCCGTGCAAGGCCAGATTAAGGGTGGAAAAAGAAACCCAAATAGGTTAAGAAAGTCAAGACAGATAAAATTAAAACCCATAAACGGAAAAAAAAAGAGTTAAAAAGATTGAGAAAGAAAGAAACCTGGTAGAGTTGAGGGTTGAGATTTTCGCTCAAGAGGTGTTGAAGTGAATTATACCCACAAATGGATCCTCTTTGCTTCTCATCTGTGCTTCCATTTTCTTCACTTTTCTCCATTTCTGATTCCTCGAAAACAAATCATGGAAAGAAGGTTTGACCTTAATATATTATCAGCTAACGTATCACTCTGGCTCACTCACTGATCAAAGTTCTTGGTTGATTATGGATCATCAATTACTGACCGTTAATCAAATAGATTCCGTCGGTCAAAGAAGTATTTGTAGTCTGTGAACCCATTAAATGAGAAGTTTCACCGAGACAGGCTTAATATATATAGTTAAGAAAAAAAATTATTGATTTTGTTATTAATTTTTTAATATTATCGGTAAAAAATTATTAAAAAATTATTATTTTTATTTAAAATATTAATGTGTTTTAATATTTAGTAAAGTGTTTAATAATAACAAAATTGATAGAAAAAATATTATTTTAGTTAACATTTTATTAAATATGTTAACAAAATTAATAAAGTACACAATAATAATAAAATCGGTTGAAATAATAATATTTTTAATAATTTTTTATTAAAAATATTAAAAAAATAATAAAATCGATAATATCTTTTTTTAACTTTATATTAAAACTGTCATACGTAAGATTTTTACCCATTAAATATTGATAGACGAGAATAGATGGAATAATCGTCTCTTGTTTGTGTAGTCTCTGAATTACATGCAAAGATTCTTAGTCATTGAAAAACTCTCTCCACGGAAGGTCTTGAAATTTCAACACAAGTTTTTGTTACTCCCGACCATAAACGAGCTGAGTCCAGCCGAGTAATGTTGAATTCGATTAAATTTAAAAAGTATAAATTTGAGTTCGATTAATTTAAAAATTTATGAGTTTAAATTTTTATGCTCGACTCGAACTTAAAATAAAGAATTGAAGCTCAACTTAGTCTGAATGCTCGTGAGTTTAAAATTTTCAAGTTTCACTCGAAATCAACAACTAAAGCTCGACTCAAATTCAAACCTAAATCTTAAATACATAAAAGTCTTATAGTATTTTTTTTTGAAAAAAATAGCATACAAATGGTAATATTATTATTACTTTAAATTCAAAAATCTAAAATTTTAACATATTATTATTTTTTGAGTAGCTCGAGAGCTTTTCGAGTAGAGTATCAAGTAGTTCGCTCCGGCTCGTTAAGAATTCGAGGCGAGTTTAAGCTCGAGTCGAGTCCATTCGATTCAAGTATTGATCGAGCTTTGAATGAATCGATCTCGAGTAGCTTACGATTTGTGTCATCTCATTTACAAACACAGTCATCATATTTTTATTTTATTACTATTTCATCATATTCTCAACGACTTTAATAGTTTCATACATATCTCATGTTGTCGTTGATATTATCATTGATGTTGTCATTTTCTAACGTCTCTTTTTACCATTTGAAATATCATTGAATTTTTCTATCGTCTTTTATCATTTTATTTGTTTAATTAATCTTCTCAAAATCCTTTTAAAATTATTAATATTTTAATCTAAAACCCAACAGAAGATATTTTAATCTACAATCTCTATCATTCAATCACCATAAAATTAAAATATATTGTTTGTCTTCTTTCTCTGTCATACTTAATTTAGGGCAAAAATTTTCTTAAAATTTATTTTGAGGATTAAATTGAAATTTTAACTAAATTTGATGACCAAAGTAAAATTTTGATTAAATTTATATCCAAATTCAAAAAGTATAAAAAAGTAGAGGACATATGACATAATTTTATCATTTTCCTTTTAAGGAATATATATCCCTAAGTCTAGAAAGTTTCCTAATTTGGAAACCTCATTCCCTCTCTCCAATCTTTCCTCTTTTAGAAGGAAAACTTCAATCGACGTTTCGTCATCGACCGTTGTTCCGTTTTCGATATTTCATGCACCATCGTGTTCTTCACGTCATCCCGAGTCCACCGGTGTTCATCTTGTCTCCGTTGCCGCCGAAGTGTGAGGGGTGAGGAAGTTCAAGTTTCCGATATTGTGAAATAGAGCTCTCCCCCGTTCACTGATGTGAATCGATCTTGGTAAGTGTCTCAAAACCCCTTAAAAAGCATATAAGAATTTTTCTGCTATTTTTTCGACCCCCGAAGGCCTCACATGTGCCCCCACGTACCGCTTTTACGCGTGGGGAGGGTCCACCGCCTCGTGGGCTTCTAGAAGTTGCCCGACTCGACCTGCTTTCTCTATCTGGCCTTCCTGCTAAATCCGAACCGTATGTCTGATCTGATCTGACTCGAACCAATAAAACTCAAACTGAACCGATTAGTTGTTGACTTTTTTCGAAAACCTCTATATTGATATTTTTCAACGTCCCGAGTCTGCTTTTTGATCCGTTTTGCCAAATTTTGACCCCGAAAGCCCTGAATCGAGCCCATTAATTCGAAAACGTTTAGTATTTTTGCTTATTTATTTAAGGTTTGAATATGGAATTAATTTGGGAATATATTTTTATAAAGGTACTCGTGTCTCCCCCCGACTGAGGTTTATTTAGATCCGATGTTTCATGTCTGTCAAATCTGCATGATCTGCGTCCTTCGAGAGTTACTCGTAGATTTCTGTAAATTGTTTAAATAGGGGTTTTATTATTCATATTAGGATTCCAATATAGATTTTTCTATTCGTATGATCTAGCGTTGCCGTTGATCGTGATCGATAGACTTGGTAGTAGGATTCCTTATCAGACTACTCATACTGGTACATGTGTGTTTCCTAATAGGGTTACATTACTGTTTTAAACTATTTATATGAATTGTTTTAGATTTATGATGAAACTGAATATTTTTTTACGACACGATACCTGATTTTTTTAATAATGTTTATCTGATATCTAATTTACTGTATATTTTTTATATGATATCTTATTATTGTATTTCTGTATCTGATTCCTAAGTATGGAATATTTTCACGTTTTAATGGATTAAACTACTATTTTCACTAGAATACATATATGTTTATTACTTTCATTGGGGGTATTATTGGAGGAATTATATTAGGCCTAGTCTATGACTTGTAAGACCTTACCGCAGGCTCCTTTGCTTTGTGCACAGGGTAAGTCCTTACCGCATGTCCTTATACTATATGTATAAAGCCCTTACCGGGTGTACAAGGGGTGTATGGTTCTGGAGAACCTACACAATCTGGTGTTCGGATGGGGTAGTGTTCATATTTTTAAAACATGATTGATGAATTGACTTTTACTAAAGTATTTTATCTGTATGTTTTTATACACCGTAAGGAGCACACTGGCTTTTTAGTTCATTCTGTAAATTTTAACCTTTTTAGATAGTAACAAACCGTGGACTAACAGACTTGGCATCAGGAGAATCGACTACTCCTATTTTTGTACTACTGTATATCTCTATATGCCTTTAGTTATACTTTGGTGACACGTGTTTTTGTTACTATCTTGGTATATTTGTATTACTGGTATTTTGTTCTGTATATGTTTTATACGGTTTTCTAATTTATGTATAAATATATGTGTTTATCATATGTATCTTTCTTATGGAATAATTTCATATTTTATTGTTATACGAATTTTAACATTGTTTTAAATATGCAAAGAATTTCTAAATACAATATGTAACCGCCTAGATTTGGTCATAACGTTCAGGCTGGGTCTAAGGGTTTACACTTGGTGGTATCAAAGCCTTCGATTTTAAACACTCAGGCTATGGATGAGTCCTAAAATCTTGATTTTCAATATATTTTAGATATTTTCAAAACAAAAAGTGTCACCTTATTTTATGAGTTTTAAATATAATCGAGATTTCTGATGCTAGTATAACTTAGGTTCAAATTCTTTCTGTAGAGCCTTGTAGATTTTCAATGAGTTATGCTATAGGTCGTAGGCTAGGTCGTGGTCATGGTCGAGGGCGAGTGACTCGACCTTCTGTTACGATAAACAATCCGATGTCACCTCAAGATTCTCCTATTCTGTATACAAATCCGTCTATTTCTCGTGATGATCTGGTTACACATGCGAGAGAACCTCCCATCACTGAGGATGAGGAAACTGATTTAGATGAGGATGTCATTAATAGAGCTGTCTTTCGTATGTTTTGGAGAGCTGCAAAAGTCCCTAAAAATATGTATGCGATCGAGATTTCAAAGTATTTGGTAGTTGCTGGAGTAGTTCCATTCGAGGGCATTACTGGTGGACCTTCGACTGACATTAAGTATTGGTAGGAGGATACAGAGAGGATTATGGATGAGATAGATCATAGGCCTGAACAGAATTTAAAGGGTGCCCTAGCTATACTGAAAAAATAGAGTTTTAGATGGTGGCAATCGATTTCCGGTAGTATTCCAGGGAATCAATTGACTTCAGATTTTTTAAGGCACATTTTCGGAGTCGTTATATTGGAGAGAGATACTTGCAGGAGCGACGCCAGGAGTTTTAAAATTTGGAGTAGGGTGATATGTCTGTTATAGATTATGATATTGAATTTATCAGATTGAGCCACTATTTATTGGAGTGGTTGACATTGAGTTGGATTGGTGCTTGAGATTCGAGAATTGAATCAAGTATGAGATCATGAGTCGAGTTGCTACCCACCAAGAGATGAACTTTGATGCCTTGGTTGAGATAGCTAAGACGCTGAGGAGATAGAGCGAGAGGGTATGAAGTGTATGAGATATAGAGACTGAGATCGAGATCGAATTAGGAGGCCTTTTTGTTCTGTTGACTCTTCTGCACACCCCAACAAGAGAGGTAGGGGTGAGTCTTTTCAGAGAGGTGGTGCGAGTGCCAGGCCTGTGGCGTCAGGTTTGTCACTTGTAATGTCTTCTAGTTAGGGTGGTTCTTCTGGGTTGCAGCCTTTGCTGTCATGTGAGCACTGTGGGATACGCCATTTTGGTGAATCCAAGAGAAGTTGGGTACCTATTTTAGATGTGGTTCTGGTGACCATCTCTTGAGGGATTGTCTAGAGCCAGCTCATACCCATGATCGTACTCATAGTACAATTTAGACTCCAGTAAGGGGTCATAGTCAGGAGAGAGCGTCAGGATCGACTCTTAAAGGGTGAGCTTCTCAGAGTAGGGGGATCTAAGGCCAAACAACCTGGGTTGGTTTATGCTACTAGACATCGACAAGACCGCGATGAGCCTGATGTGATTGTAGGTATTATTACGACTCATTCAATTCCATACTTTGCATTATTTGATAATGGATCTACCCATTCTTATGTG